TTTTAAAAAAAAAAAAAAAAAAAAAATTAAAAAAAATTAAAAAAAGAAAAGGAGGAAACTGCGATGCACCTCCCTCCATAAACTTTCCACCATAAAGTTTAGCATTTAGACAAGAGTCTCTTCTCGCGGAGCGCAAACGTTGAGTGGTCCATTACGAGGTGAAGGGAAGGCGTCGATAGTCGTTATCTGCCGGTTATTCCGTTCTCTCAAGCCTCCCCCTCCTCCCTGAAAATGGGGAAGAACACCGAAAAATCTCCAAGCGCACTCCTCCGAAAGCGACTCCTCCTCTACGCTCCTCGCTCCTCGGGCTTCTCGTTCCCGTAATTAGACCTCTCTCGAGGACCGCTTCTCCCTTCGACCACCGGCCGAGCAATCTTCCTCATAATTCCCGCCAGGGTATCTTATCTCTCCGCGCCCGTTTCCTCCACGAGCAAACAAATCTCTCGTGAGATGGCGAGAAGCACCCTGGCGTGATAAAATTAAGGGAGGGAGGTGGAAAGGGGAAGAAGAGGGGTGGGTTCGTTAAGGGGCTCGCGGGAGCCATTCCGCGGCGCGCGATGCTTCCTCGAAAGGCGGCTGCCAGCCTCGAGTGGTGCATTACGATGTTTACAGTTCCTCGATGCTGGATATTGTGCGCCCTCCGCTTTCCAACCACTTCCAACCCCTCCCCCGCTTATTCCTTGCTCGAGGCTGAAGATCTCTCGCGAGAGGATGGAATGTAGACACGTGTCGAGCTTCTTGTATATCAGGAGTCGAGTTTGATTGATCCACAATTCAAAAGGATCGTGATTTAACACGACTTCTTCGTTGCAAAGATTATTTTCCAAGATTATTCGTTTCTAAAATTCATTACATGGAAGGGGACTTAGCAATTATTATAATTAATAATTGTCACGGTGATAAATACATAAAATCTTTTTGCGTAGATTAGTCGGGTTTTTGGAAGAGTGCTAATTTGATTTGAAGAAGAATAAACAGTTGCTTCTTAAGGGGTAAATTTCGTCAGATTTGCAAGGGTTGATTTATGGGATGACTTTGTGGGATGGTCTAATCGTAGATTATACTTTCGTGCGCAACAGTGTATGGGGAACGTACTTCTTGCACAACCATCGTGAAAAATATGGGCGTTGTACGTGAAGCGACCATAGTCGCTGGTGCACACGTGGCACATCTCTTCGTGACAAACGATCATAATCACCCTTGGCAACAGGATGGGTTAAAACCGTGTCGTATTGCAGACGTGCACCGATGTTTCGCCAGCATTGCAGCTAACTTTACCAAGAGTCACAAGACATGATGATAATTGTGTGATCAATATACCTTATGGCTCGTATCCCTCATGAGACGCGATTTCAAACTTGGAAACTTCTGAACGCTTGGAAAATTGGAGGATCCTAAATTATGAAAGTTTTTATTATCATTAATTTCCTCTTGGTAAATAAATTATAATTTAACATTGGTATACAATTTTATATTTCGTAAAAATCGAAATATTGTGAATAATAAAATAATGAATGATATGATTTATAATTAGAAATTTCAAGATCGGTTGTTTAAATCGTTTTATATTATTAGAAAATTGGCTTGTTCGGAATAAATGAGCTGTTAGCTTTTCTATTATTATCTTTCTTATCAATTAGCATCACTCAAATGGTTTTATTTTTATCATCTTCTTCGAAATCTGTCAATTTATATTCAATAATTATATTTGTATTACACAACCTCGTTATTTCTCACCGTCGATTAATAATTGGAATTTCATGGAAGCTGGTTTCAAAATTACAATTCCTTGATTGAATCATTAATTAACGAAAAGAAAATTTATACGTAATAGAGAACTATAGCGCTCATTTTACTTTGGAATATATTTATCTCTGTCTGGAGGAAGAAGATTGACCCTCCTTAATGGCAAATTATATTCTCGTTATGTACCATTTACTGATCCTCTTCAAGCGACTTTCTCCTAATGGTTTAATGTTTATATTACGAATAAAATTAAGTCAAAAAAAAAAAAACATCTGAACCGTTCCGTACAAAAGAAATTATTTAACAAACTGATAACAACAAGAAAATTTATCTTATTAAAATTGTATCAAAAATATAAGAGTTTTCTTTAATTTAATATACAATATATTCACATCTTGTACACGATCAAAAATTTCGATACACCAATCCATTTTTTAAAACCTTATATTTCTCGAAAACCCGAGAAAACGAAATCGAATTCCAGTACACGACTCGAGAATTAACTTATTCATACAACCGAGGTGCGAATGAACGAGCTTTTATCGCGCAACGATTCTAAAAATCACTCTGTGTAACGATCAGCCTCTCCCGTAACTCGAATCAACAACGAAAAAAAGAAAAAAGAAAAAAAGAAAATTCCTTTCTATTGAAAACAACACAAACGCGCATACACCCCCATTTGACCCGAGGCGAGCAAATGTCACGAGCTCGACAAGCTTCGGTCAGAGTAAAGCTTGTACACGTGTCCAACCGAATTCTTTCGAATCAACGACTGACTGAGATTCAATCCTTCGCGCGGAATCGTGTCAGCTCCCTTTAATCCCAAATCGTGAT